ATTTGTATGAGCAAACACCTATGTACTATTCTAAGAGTATTTGTGAGGGGATATACTCTGCTTAAAATTATGACAAGAATAGTCCACATATCATAGATTTCCAAAGTTACATAACAACTCATTTGTCAATCATAGCAAGGATTTACTCATTTCCTGCCCTAAGGATCAGCTCCTACCTTTACCTAAATTTGTGAAAATATATTTCACACACACACACACACACACACACACACACACACACACACACACACGGTGTTAAAGACATGGCTCAACACTTAAGAGCACATACTTGAACTGGAGAGCATTTGGGGGTTGATGTAAAAACACAGTGAAGTAGAAACTCCCAGAATTCTACGAGGGTTACCCTAGCAAGAACACCTAGCAATGGAGAATATGGAGCCCAAAGTGGCTATCTTCTGTAACTAGGCAACTTCCAGTGGTGGGACTTGGACACCACTCAGCCACAAAAACTATGACCTATATAATCTACCTTGCCTGCAAGCAATCCTGTCTCCAAGATGTATTGGAGAAATGGAGGCACAGAACTTGTGGGAGTGGCCAACGAATAACTGGTCTAATTTGAGGCCTGTGCCCCCAGAGGAAGCCCATGCTAGACACTGCCTAAATGACGAAGAACCAGAGGCTGGATGGCCCAAAGACCTAGGATAGAAAAAGAAAAATCAATAAAATCTCCTAATGATCTTTTGCTATTCTCATAGACTTGTGCCTAGCCCAGTCATCATCAGAGAGGCTTCCTCTGGAATCTGATGGGGGCAGATAACCAAACATTAGGCAGAGTTTTGGGAATCTCACAGTAGAAAATGTGGAGGAATGATTGTAGAAGCCCAAGGGGTGGAGGGCACTAGGAGACATGGCCCACAGAACCAACTAAGCAGGGCTCAAATGGGATCACAGACCCTGAAGCAGTAATCACTGTTTGGGTCAGCACTAGATCCTCTGCATATATGTCATGGTTGTGTAGCTTGGTGTTTTCGTGGGACTCCTAACAGTGGGAGTGGGGATTGTTTTTGACACTTTTGTCTGCTCTTGGGACCCTTTTACTTCTACTGGGTTGCCTCACCCAGCCCTGATGTAAGGGTTTGTGCCTGGTCTTACTGTGTTTTGCTATGTTGTGATTGGCTCAAATGCCTGGGAAGCCTGCTCTTTTCTGAAGGGAAATGGAGAAGTGGCTGTGGGGGAAGAGGGACTGGGAGGAGTGGAGCGAAGGGAGACTGTGCTTGGGATATACTGTATGAGAAAGGAATAAATTAAAACAACAGAAAAGAAATATGGAGCATATGTTGTTCTTGGGAGCTAATAGCTAATGTTTACAAAATTTTATTTAGGGAATAATAAAAAATGACCTACACTGATAATTGTGATGTTGTATATAGCTGTACATGTACTAAGAACTGGAGAATTCTGTACTTCAAATAGGTAATCCCTATCATTTGTGAATTATCTCAATAAACTTGATAAAGCAACAAGGAAGTACAAGGCCAATTAACTAAATCAGCCATTTCTAGTCTTGAAGTTAAGTAACAAAACATGTGGGTTGTAGAGTCATACAAAGAAATTTTATTTGCAGTCTCTGTAAGCTTTGTGGTACATGGTATTTGTCTTAATTCTTCTATCCTTTGTTTTCTTCATTGACAGGATAAAATTATTTGATGTCATATAGTCATTCTATAAATATCAACTATAATCATCATTATTTTAAGTAATCTCTATTAGAATATATTTTTCACTATCTACTGCTGTCACAGGTGGATTAATTGATGACTAGGGAGTTGCTCTCTGCAGGATTTAAGAGATCCAAGAACAACTGCTAATAGTAAAATTACTTCATAGACATCATCTGGAAGAGTCCAGTTTTTTTTCCCACATTGCTGAGAATCAGTCACTGTCCACAGCCTGAGAGCAAGAACAGGCATCAGGTTTGCTTCTTCCTCTGGCAGGTAAGAAGACAGCAGGTAGAGGTTGTGTGGAGACAGAATCTGCAAAAGATAATCACAGGCATACAAATGCAACCACAAGAGTAGAATGGGAGGATAGAAGGCTTTGAGAATTTGAGTGTATAGAGGAACTCTAGCTGGAAGATGTTGGTGAAATTCACAGAACCAGAAGCTTTGTGCCACCAGAATAGAGCTTGTGTGAAGAAGGCACAACATAGCAAAGGCAAGCAGGTAGAAAGCAAGATTGTTTGGGATGCCCATGCATTTCAGGGGTTCCATTGGTGAGGGTAGGTGGCCACAGAAAATGAAGACAGAACAAGCTGGGTTAGAGCATGAGGGTCCTGCATGTGAGACCAGCAACTTGAGATTTTACCCTATGTGATTATAAATTTTAAGTCATGGAAAGATACAACTACACTGAAAGTCTAGGAAAGTCAGTCTGTAGAAGCACATTAAAGAAACTGGAGATTATGGCTATAGGTATGAATTCAAAAACATGGAAAAGATTTGAATTCAATGATGGATATAAAGTGAACAGAAACATATCTAAGAACCAAAGATATTGAAAAATCAAAGAGCAACATTTTTATTTGTATTTATTTATTTATTTATTTATTTATTTATTTATTTATTTTTAGCTCAAGTAACAGGGTAAGTTCATTGTACAATATAATGAAAAATGACATAAATTAAAGTGGCTATTGGTTTTCTTATTCGTTTCCACTGTAAGAAAGCAAGCAAGGATGCAGAAGAAAATTACTCAGTTAGAGGGATTTTAAATGTGAATTTACTTTTTATTTTCTTTTGAGTAAAGTTTTATTGATGTGTGGCTGGAGTTTTCTCTCTGGGTCCTGCCAAACCCCGGCAGTTCAACAGCCCACTTATAAAATAAACACACAGATGCCTATATTATTTACAAACTGTATGGCCATCGCAGGCTTTTTGCTAACTGTTCTTATATCTTCAGTTAACCCATTTCTATAAATCTACACCTTGCCACGTGGCTCGTGGTTTACCGGCATCTTTACATTCTGTTTGTCATGGCAGTGTCTGGCAGTGTCTCTTGCCTCAGCCTTCTACTTCCCAGAATTCTCTTCTCTGTTGTCCCACCTATACTTCCTGCCTGACCACTGGCCAATCAGTGTTTTATTCATACAGAGTGATATCCATAGCACTTCCCCTTTTCTTATTTTTTTTTCAAAAAGGAAGGTTTTAACTTTAACATAGTAAAATTATATATAACCAAACAATTATGAGTAAGAATTATAGTTATAATATTAAAGAAGATATCCTATCTATCTTATATTTGTGAGTTTAAGGTTTTATATCTAACTTATCTTTTATCATAACTAAGGAAAATTGTAACTATCTAGTTTTAACTACATCAAAGACCTCAGAAGGATATAATATTACCTGAGAAATGGGAGGATGTAAGTAACTTTTGGGAGTCTCATAGGGTAGACAGAGACAGCTGACAGTCTGGACAGTCACCTCATGCTCCTTTGTAAAGTTGGGGCATCTGTATTTAGCCCACAGGGCTAGAGTCTCTCAGTCATTTTTTTCAGTGTCCTGTAGAATGTCTGGCAGTTTTTTTTTTTTTCTGTGAAGCAGGAACCTGAAGGACATTTTTTCAAGCAAAGTTTAGTGGTCATCTTTCTATGGGTCTTGTATGTCCAGTTGATCAAACAGTCCAGGCAAGAACAGTTTTTCGTCTAAATGGCTATTTTTGCCAAGGTGAAGATAAACTCCATATGGAGTGTCTTGATGCCCATCCTCCTCTCTGAAGTAAATTGGTGCTGTCAGGAGCAGACATGTCTCACTGTTCAGAAAGTCTAAATTTTTAAAACATTTTAAATGTCATATTCTGTAGGTCTTTGAAGTATTTGAAGATTACCTATCTATCTGAAGTATATCTATGTATACCTAGAAGACTTAACTAACATGGCTACAAATATGATTATCATAGATGACTAATTATTAATCTATTTCTTAATTATCTATTACAATTTTAAATGAATTACATAAACATAATACCTCAAACAAGAATAAAAATATATATACAGTATAACAAAATTAAGTTTAAACTTGTATCAATAAACTAAAATCTATAGCAATGTAAACATTTCAAACAAGTTGTTACTCTTTAAAAGTAGGGGGCTCCGGGACTGGCGGGGTTTGACGGGAGCAGGAGAGAAATTCTCCAGCTACATTGATGACTAGATAATAAGGTAATTCTTATATTTATTCTCCCATATGTATTCAGATATAAAATAATAAATACATGGGGTTGCAGATGGCTCTTAAAACTGTCACTCTACGGATCCTGGAGTAGTGTATAGTGATGTTTAACCAGCAGCATTGTTTCGCAGTAATGAGAATACTGTAAAAGTCACAGTGACTAGACTGCTAATATGAGCAAGAAGGTGATAAGTAATGTTACTGGAACTTTTATGGGAAAAATACGGATGTCAGTGAAGAGAGACAATATTTGAGTAGGTGTCAATATTAGAGTGGTTACTGCAGAGAATAAATGGTAGGCAAAATTGTATTAATAAGCATTAAATAATTTGCACAATCTCTAGAAGGCCAATGAGCCAGATGCTGAGTCTCAAACCTCTATCTGAGATCCTGAGATATTGACCCCACAAGCACTGTCAGTACCTTCCTGAGTAAATGGCCATATTCCCCATTCTTTTCTCTTTCATTTAAATGACCATGATGAATGGTTCTTAGGATATGTGGTTCTTATCATCATTTTATACAAGTGACTTTTATTAGTAGATTCTATGTATTAAATCTCCAATTTTCACTTTAGGAGAAAGATAGACTTACTATTTGGGATATAATAAAATAAATGAGAGTTTTCAAAGATATTAAGTAAACTATTACGAAAACAATGGCCTAGTATTGGTCCACAGAAGCCAATAAGGGTGATAGGACACAAGTTAACCTTTCAAAATAGACATTGTTTTATTTAATTTTCAATTTAGTTTTTAAAAAAATGAGCTCATCTACACGCACAGCAAAATGCAAATGACTAAACCTATGAATTTTGGTTCCATGAGCAGGCAGCAGTGTACATTGAAAGAGGTTAGAATCAGAAAAGGCCCAGGGTTTGACTCTACACTTCATCACTGAGACTGGGTCTTCCTAGTTGACTTCCTCATTGCCATCTCCGTTTGTTGAGCAAGGACCAGAGCAAAGGTTTTGCAGTACTGTGATGAAGGAAGCATGAGATCATGCTTGCAAAGCACCTAGCTGAGAGGCATTGAAGGCAGTGCCTGTAATTGATTTTGTATTCAGCACTCTGCACCTCTGAATTAGCACCAGAATGGGTTTCCATTATTGTGAACATCAAAAGCCCTGTTTTACTCCATCCTCCATGCATCTTTTCTTTCTGCTTCCTGTCTCTATGGACAGCAATAAACCATATTTGGAAGTCCAATTAGGCATGCATAACTCCTGTCTGTCTTATCTTAATCCTGCCAGTAATAGAACAGTAATTGTTCAGAGAAACTACAGGGGAAATTGTGAGTAAGGAGCACACACAGTGCTCCAATTGATCTCAATTACTGTCATGAAATTGAGTCTTCTGTCCGACATCTAAATTTAATGCTTCTTTTTCCCTGAGGATCTGTCCCTGGTTGTTGCCTTCTATCGTATCTGTGGTTGGGCTGTCACCATTTGCACTGCCCTCTCCATCAGAATGATGGAATTGTTTTCATTCATGCAATATTTTCCCTCTATATTGTTTGCCTCCTAAATCCCAGCTTTAGTCTTCTGACATTCATATCTGAATCTTTTCATTTTCTCTGGCTCAACACCCAGGGAAGAACTATGTTGTGTTTTGGCACCCGAATAATTGATTTCTATTTATGAGCAAAAAGACAATTTTTCAAAACCTAAACAAGATGAGACTAGGCTTTGCCCAAAGGATGAAAACATATTCAGAAGTGAATTATTTCCCTCTTTATTTGGGTGCAATTAGGAAAGTTAATGATGGGTAATTTCCAGCATGCATATGCTTTCACTTTGCTGATTTATAAGTAGGCATAAACATAATTAGGTGTGCATATGCATCCTCACAGTTTAATGGGCCCTGTATTCCTGGTAATTAGGAGACTCAGCGTGCTGTTGATGTGTCATTTTTCAGGCTAAGGTATGGGAAGCTTTAAGGACTGACTAGCCCCGGGAAGTTGTATGAAAATGCAAGGTATAGAGTTCTATAAATTCATAGATAATAGCATCTTAGAAGACATTCACCATATGTTTTTCTTCTTAAATAGATTCAATAGATTCAGTTTTAGAAAATACATCTGCCTAAAATAGATAATCTTTAAGTTGTAAAGATTTTGGAAATTAGCAGATTTATAGTATTTTAGAACTAGAAGTATGTAAGAGAACATCTAGTAAAATTAAGAATTCACTGATAAAGCTATATAGGCTCTTAGAAACCTACAAGTGGACTGAAAAAGGATGGAAGAAATAGAATATTTTGATGTAGAACCTGCATCTCCTTGGAATTCTAGCTTTACTTCCAGAAAGAGCAGCTGAGCATATTATAGGAACCCCTGCAACATAAAAATTCAGGGTTGCTTGCCTAAACATTAAGAAATTAAAGATATTGATTACAGAGCATTGAAACAAGCACCAGGCCTCTCTAAACATGTTTCCCTGTTTGATTGAACAGGTGACATGTCTACAAAAGTGGCACTTAGTATTGGAAGGCACCAAGTGACCTATAAAGTAGTAAGTATAACAATAAGGTAAAGGGTACAAGTGAAATAGTTACAAGCAGAATTGCTATGATCACTTACTAAAGAACAAGGAAGATGACATTTAGTTATAACTGAGACTGTCTATGTAGTTATTTCTGAACAAATGTTTAAATATTATAAATGTGGCATGCCTAAGAAATGAGTATACATTGATATGTAAGTAATGCTTATAAGAGAAAAATATATTTTAGATTCCTGTTATTTGAAATTTCTTTTCTTATTTCCCTATTTACTGAAATTTCTATTTTAGAAAACAAACAAAAAAGCAAGCTATCAAGCAGACAGGGAAAGCATAAAGTATCTTCAGACAGGTCCAGCGGTAGGAATGGCATATTTCTTTATTGTGGGAGTATGTATCATATTGCAGTACTATGTGCAGAGAGCAATGTTGGAACCAAGTCTATCTTCCTGAAGGAGCTCTCTGTGAAGTAGGTAAGATGCTCTTAAGAGTTATTTTTACTGGGATAGCCAATAACCTGAAGAGGAACAGGCTTGGGGTTTATTGTGACTAATGCAATGCCTATTTTACCCATGCAACTCCATCTCAGAAAGAGAGAATGGTGGTAGAAAACACAAAGGGAATGTGAAGGATTAATACCAGAAATGGATCAAAGAGCATTCTTAAAGTCTAATTCTCAATAAAACAAAACAAACAAACAAAAAGGTTGTATTTCAACATTTTCCCCCCTACTCCTCAGGGGACATGATCACAATTCCTCCAAGGCTCCTGGGTCCTCCTCATTCTGGTATTAGATCAAGACGACATGTGGGAGGATGTTCTGTGATGCCAATGATGGATCTTCATCCTCCTGGTATGGTATTTATGGGATCTGCTCCTTGAATTAGGCCACCCATTAGAGGCTGCATGTCTATGATGCTCAGACCTTCCAAAGATGAATCTTCTTATTCATCCCATGAAGGTGCTAACTTCTACCAGGGTTGGCTTAGCCAAATGAATAATGTTCTGGAGTGTGTGGGTGGGAGTGGGGTGGGGGTGGAGAAACTCTTTAGGAGTTTTGTAGGTTCTGTAGTAGGTGTTTTGCTTCAGCAGCAGATCATGGTGCTGTACTCTGAGTGCTTTGTAGCCACAGTCAAGGAAGATTTGCTTCCATTTCTAACAAAGAGAATCACTTTGGAGGGGGAGATATAAGACAAGAAAGTACAGATTTCATTTGTATTGTGAAATGTGAAAACAAAATGATCATCTATTGCAGTTTAAAAAAGAGTTAGTATTATAAAATTATGGATTGTTGACATCTTCAGAGAAATGAAGACAAATTCCAATGCAAGAGTTATTCATTGTTCTTTTATTACATGGCAAACTCTACTACTAGTGAGGTCACTTGAGAGGGTTTATGATATAAACTGAGTTTCCTTCAGGGAAGTTTTTTTTTTTTTTTCATTTTACAAAGTGATTAAGTTTGTTCTTGTTCCATAAAGATGGCTCAACTGGTAACTTGTGACCAGGCCTGAAGACCCGAGTTTGATCCTCAATGCTCACATGGTGGAAGAAGAGAACTGACTTCTGCAAGTTGTTTTCTGACTTTCTGATGCAATGTAATCTGTGCATGTATGTATGCATATATGCACACACACAATAAATTAAAGGTATTAAGAACATTTTGACAATGTCGTGTGCGTTGTTTATAATAAATTAATATAATATAATATATAATATAATATATATAATTAATATAATATAATATAGTATAATAAATAATATAATATAATATAATATAATATAATATAATATAATATAATATAATATAATATAATATAATATAATATAATATAATATAAAATATAACCCTCCAATTTATCTCATTTTCCCTCTACTTTTGTCAGCCCACCCATCCTTCCTACAGGTCCTTTCTCACATTCATATAATTTGGAGGAGAGGTTGTGTGTGAGTGTACCACTGACTTTCACTGGAACCATTTGTGTGACCACAGGTTTGGAAATATCAATTGAAACCTAGTGGACTCACCACTAGGTACACAAATAAAGACACTGACTGTCCCTCTCCCAGAAGCCATCCATAGCCAGTGGTTCAGCAGGGAGAATGTGTACCCTCTGAACCCACCCCTGATCCTGTTTATATTTTTCTCAGTTTTGAGATGTGTAATTAAAGGTGAATAGGAGTTATGTTCATTGCTTGTGACAATAGATACCATAAAGAATATCTTTGAAATGAAATTGCAACTATTTTTCTTTTAATAAGCCGGTGATTCTCACCTGCACTTTCTGGCTCAGCAGCATCAGTAGGGAACTGTGAAGACGGCAAATCCTGGGGTACCACTCCATTCTACTGAAAGGAGGGTCTGTGGCCAAGTTCATCCATCTGTCTGATGTGCTCTCCAGAAGGACCTGATGAGCTTTAGAATTTTAAAACCCAATGCATACATGACTCATTATCCTTTTTTTTTTTAATTAAAATTTTACATACCAACCACAGTTTCCCTTCCTGCCCCAGTTCCCCCACCACCACCTCCTTTCTACCTCCTCTCCTCCCATCCACTCCTTAGAAAGGGTAAGGTCTCCCATGGCAGTCAACAAAGCATGGCATATCAAGTTGAGGCAGGACCAAGCTCCTCCCCGCTGCATCAAAGCTGAGAGAGGCATCCCACCAGAGGGAGTAGATTCCAAAAAGGCAGCACATGTGCCAGGCACAGATCCTGATCCCACTGCTAGCTAGGGGCCCCACAAACAGACCAAGCTACACAACTGTTACTCACATGCAGAGGGTCTAGGTTGATCCCATGCAGGCTTGCTAGCTGTTAGTTGAGAGTCCATAAGCTCCCACAAGCTTGGGTCAGCTGTCTTTGTGGGCTTCCCTGTCATGAT